CATTTCTCAAAAGTTCTAGCCCCTCGTCGTAAAACCTATATAATTTCATAGAAAATATAATATATGCTATATCAGAAATCATGCTCAGGATGAAAATCCATAGAAATATATGATGCCAAAGTATCACAATGAAATGATATATGTAATCTAGCTAAAATATATCAATGCCAGATATCATAACAACCAAATCCACCTAACATGACCTGCACAGCTGAGTCTATAGCTCATAACTAATCTCAACCATATCAAATCCTGCACACGAGTCGGAACAACCTAAAGTGGTCTGTACGACAGGACTGGGTGTAAAATAATTATGCTCTAGTGCTACGATCACGTGAAGACTATGCGAATAATCGCGGGTCACCTATGAGTGGGAACCACCTAAAGTGGTTTGTATGATATGACTATGCACTTAACTTGGATCCAAGGTGAGCATATGGTACGGGAGGTGAACATCACGTGAAGGATTATGCTCTAACTCTGGGTGAAAGCACTAACACCGAGGTGCAGGTTTATGAGCTCTCAATGCATCACATCATAATCATTATCTATAAACTTACCTGGCACTTACCTATGTGTCCGCATCACCAATTATAAATATATGCAACTACTAATGCATAAACAAAATAGGCAGATACTTTGCATGGCATTTCAAAACGTATAATCATTCAATTTCATTTTTTGGGAAAAATCTCAAGTATATAGGTATATACGGAAAACCAAAAACCCACTCACTGGTATGTGGAAAGGTCGTAGCCCCCGAGCCTCGATTGATTGCACTTGTCCTGAGGATAGGTCTCACCTATATGCGAAACAACTACAAAAACGTTAATTTAAAGCACATAACCAAAACTAGATAATAACTTTTCATACATAGCTCAAATGAGGTTTTTGAATATACCAATGTGATCTACTCAACACCACAAACATCCGTATATTCTTAAAATAATTTTTGGACAACTCAGGCACCCCCACACGCCGGCAATGGCACGGCTAGACGCCCCCCACGTGAAGGCACGTGCCGTCAGCATGACTGACGCTGTTAGGAATATTCCGTTAAATGCTAATAGAAGCTAACGGCGTTACTTGACACCATTAGAATATTTCGTCAACTCTGATGGAATATTATGTCTCCTTCTTCGGCGAGTCTCTCCGGTCGTCGCCGCCGCCGTCTGCAACTTGAATTTTCTCTAGTTTCTGGAAAAACTTTAAAACTTCATATCTTTTCCATTTCTCAACCAAATTCTATGAAATTTGTACTAAAATAAAGCTTACAATGAGTAGAACAAAACCTTACCACTTTTAAAACTTAAATCCAACAGAATCTCACCGGAAAACCCACGATAATCCAGCCAAACTTGAAACTCGCCAAATTCAACTTCCCGACGTCCAAAACACTTCGTTTTTCTTCTCCGAGCTTCGTGAAGACGATCTAAAACTCCTTAGAAGCTTAAAACTAACAAAAAGTCCACGATCATGACTGCATGAACAATACATCAAATCGGGAATTCTGGTTCTCGGGTTTCGAAGGTTTCACATCTAACCAAAGGTATGGATCGACTCCTGAGCTTGAAAGGAGCCCAAAAAACACCAACAACGATCTCGATCTACGACTGGAAGGGTGGTTTGAGGTTTGTCCATATGGTTGTACGGAAATGGAAGAAATCCGAGAGAGAAGAAATAGATAGAGTCAACGGAAAAAGGTTTGTGTGTGTGTGATGTCCAGCTGAGTCACCAACCAAAAACAAATAAAAAATAAAACCTAAATCTAAGTTCCTAATTGGTTCAAAATATTAGGGACTTAACATATTGTCCACATCCAGAACTTAAACCACATGACGCCATAAGCGTTCAAGGGTACTTTAGTAATTTCACGCCATCGATACAAATATTTCGGGACGGGCTGCCACATTTTAATATATATTATTTAATCTAATATATTTACAACCAATTCATTGATTAAATTTAATAAATAAAAAATTTCCATTGTTAATGATTTTTTATCAAATGAATTTATTTTTTGTTCAAATTCTAAGTAACTAATAATAAGAAGAATATCATGAATTTTATTTATTCAACAACAACAACAAAGTCTTTTTCCACTAAGTGGGACCCGGCTACATGAATCATAGAACGTCATTACGCTCGGTTCTATGTCATGTCTTCCATTAGATCCAAGTACTCTAAGTCTTTTCTTAGAGTCTCTTCCAAAGTCTTCCTCTATCCCTTTGGCCTTGGACCTTTGTCTCGTAGTCCCATCTTCTAACCAGCACGTCAATAAGCCTTCATTGCACATGTCCAAACCACCATAACCGATTTTCTCTCATCTTTCCTTCAATTTCGACACTTCTACTTTACCTCGGATATCCTCATTACTAATCTTATCCTTTTTTGTGTGCCCATATATCAAACGAAGCATCATCAGCTTCGCTACATCCATTTTATGTACATGTTGATGCGTTCCCCCCCCAACATTCCATGCCATACAATATTGCGGGCCTTATTGTCGTCCTATAAAATATTCCCTTGAGCTTCATTGACATACGACGGTCACACAACACGCCGGATGCACTCTTCCACTTCATCCATCCAGCTTGTATAATATGGTTGAGGTCTCCATCTAATTCTCTATTCTTTTGCAAGATAGATCCTACGACGGTCACACAACACGCCATATGCACTATTCCACTTCATCCATCCAGCTTGTATTCTAAGGTTGAGGTCTCCATCTAATTCTTCATTCTTTTGCAATATAGATCCTAGTAATTTTTTTACAGAAGCTTTATTTATGCTTGAGAGTGTAGATAATTTTTTTATTCGTTCGTGGTAGGGTCCATTGATGAAATGATCATATATTTTTGGTAAGTATTCTTTTTTAGGCTTATCAGTACACAAGAATCCCAAGCCATTGCCCTTGATGGAGAATACGCTACTATCGTTCCAAGCTAGCCAACGTCTTCATCACCTTCGTAGGCTCTAGCGTTTTTGCCCTCCCATATTCCTTCAAGCGCACTGGGTGGCTCACACACCAATGGGTTCACAAAGATCTCATCAATCATGCGAAGCCGACAAGTCCGAGGTCCAGTTTGATGTGTAGCAAACGAGTCCAAGGTTGAGTTCAAAGCGTAGCAAAGCGAAGCAGACGGTTAGAGCTGGACGGACAGCGGTAAGAGTGAGATCTTCCTCAGTTCGAAACTATGGGTTAGGGTGAGGATAGAGGGAGAGATTGGTGGTGGGTTGGTGGTGTGTCTTGCTAGAGTTGGCAAGTTATGGTGTGATGGTGGTAGTCGATGCTTAAAAGAACAGCAAGCAGAGAGAGGATGAGAGGGAGCATATGAAGATGGAGCAAACGAGGTATTAACAATCCCATGGGTATTTGGGGGTCTTGCTAAGAACTCCTAGGGAAGGAATTTTTCCATAGGAGTCCTTTTTAGTCTCATTAAACATAATCCCACTCCTAAACAAACATGGCAGTGGACTAAAAGTTAGTCCAATCTAGTGACATTTAGTAAGGGCAAACAAATGCCTCCTAAATGTATTACCAAAGACAATGAATTACTATAAAAACTCTCAATAGTTCAACTATTCATAGGTTAGGTCTAGAGTTTGTATAAGCTTTTGGAGGTTTAATTTGTAGTTCTTTTTCACACATTTTCATCAAAAATTGAAACAAAAAATCATCGATAAATTTTATAACCGATTAAGTCAAAACTATAGTTTATTGGAGATGCAATGAGACTTTCCCTCATCACCCAGTGGTGAACTAGGAGAGAAGAAACATTCCATAGATGGAATTATAGAATGGACGCCATCGGCTACTTGAGTTAGGCGGCTAGTGAGATAGGGAAGGGAGAATGAAGTGGTAGTCAATTTCTATGTGCTTATAGTAGGGAATAGATTTTCTCTAGATCTATTTCCACATTCTAACTGTTTATCGTACATTATGCAGCCAGTTTTTGTCAAGTACTATTTGTGTTTAATTTTAAATAAAATTTTTTTGGACCACACGATGCATGTTGAATGGTTAAGATGTGAAAATTCCTAGAATCTTCACAATTTAGAACCGTATGGAATCCAAATTTCTTAGAGTAAGCATGAAACACAAGATCGGCCGCTGAGTGTGTACAGCTAGCTTTATAAAGCACACAAGAAAGTGCCTCACTACTAGATAGCATAGTGAGTAAGAAATACACAACAATTCAAAGATAGTAAGAGCGAGTACTTGTACTCTACTTTAGAAAATAATGTTACATTTACGACATTTAAAGGTAAATTTAGGCAGACTAAATTTCTAAATCAAATTTTAGGACGATATGTTATCAATGGCGGAGCCATCTTAAGACCACAGTAGGCTGAGGCCTACCTTGATTATTTTTTCTTGCAATCTCTACTATTTGTCTACCATTGATTAATTTTATACTATCACCATTAACTTGAATTTGTTTTCAATCCAACAAATAAAAAGCCTATAATTATCACTTAACAATTCGATAAGAATATTAGTTGATCATATTCTCTGTTTTTTGCCTATATGCAATTTTTTCCTTTGCTTGTAGGCTATTATTTTTATAGTTTCTTATTTCCCTCTATATCACCAATGAAATTAAGAAGAGAAAAAGTTTTTCTGTGAATAAAACCTTTCAAAATTCTCTTATGCCCTAATGTTTTTACAAATGAACGTATGATTACTTACATTTGAATTTAATAAGAATGTGCAATAAATAGATATGCTTTTAATGTTTTATTATCCATCATTAATATGAAATTCATGAGTAGCTGATCATGTATCATTGGTCATAAGGAGACCAAAAGAACGAGGCTATGTTTCTATATGTATTATATGCCAATTTCAATTTAAAGTGTGCCTCTTCTCACATGAATTTTGGACTTCGCCACTGTATGTTATGCATTAAATTTACAAAAGAAATGACAGCACAGTAAATTGGAAGGTCATAGCGACTGTATAAGTCCATTCGACATTTTACAACATTTCCAAAAAAAAAATATAAAAAGAAAAAGTAATTCGTAGAGGAAGGCTCATTTCTTCGCCGCAGTGGATCATTCATCTGCCAACACCCTGGTGTTCGAGCTCAAACGCTTCAACCGCCCGCCACCTCCCCAAAACCAGAAGAACAAACAAGGCACGAACTTTCTGCTTCCTCTCTATTGCAGAAGCCAAGCAAACTGTTGGGTCACGATCTCTCTGTCACGGCAAGTGAGTTAATCATTTTCTCTTAGCATTTTCACACTCTTTAATTTCCTAATCATTCCTTAATCTGCACTCACATTAAACCTTCGATTATGTTGTTTGTTGTTTTTGGAGTTTCCTTAATCTGTTTGGATTCTGAGAAAAACTAGACACTATAAGAGTTGGGTAACTTAGAATTCAGTAACCCCAATCTTGGGTGGTTCTGAGTTTTCCAGTCTGTTGTTGGTATTTTCTTGTGTTTTCTCGGCAGCCAAACGTAACCCAGGTTATGTTTTCCAGTGGATAGTTGAGATATAGATGTGTTATTCTGCATGTGTGATCAGAATCATTACATTGGTAAAATATTTTAGTAGGGTTTTGTTTGGTTACACTATGATGTGAGACTTTGCACAATTCATTAGGTAATCGAAAACTAGTTTGGTATAAAAGATCGCATTTTTTCTTCGCAAAATTATTGTTTTGCTTGAATTTTGGAAGCTAGAACCTTAGATGGAGTCTTGTCACAATGCTTATTTGGGCAGTGGATGATGAAGAACCTTCTATGAGCAAGGATGAGGACGTGTTAGAGAGTTCCAATGGGAAAGAGGCAGTCACATATGAGGGGAACTCAGATACAGAACCATTTGTGGGTATGGAGTTTGAATCTGAAGAGGCTGCCAAAGTGTTCTATGATGCATATGCAACACAGGTGGGCTTCATTATGCGAGTCGATGCCTTCAGGAGATCAATGCGTGATGGTAAGGTAGTTTGGCGGAGGCTTGTGTGTAACAAAGAGGGATTTCGCAAGACCCGAGCCAAAAGAACCGAGAACAGGAAGCCTCGAGCAATCACCAGAGAAGGGTGCAAAGCGATGATTGTGGTAAAGAAAGACAAATCAGGAAAATGGATCGTAACACGATTTATAAAGGAGCATAACCATCCACTAGTAGGTACACCTGCAAATGGTCGCCGCAGTATGCTTCTATCTCAAACACCAGTGAGTGCTTCTTATCTGCATTTTTGAGTTGCTCGCTTATAGGTTTATTTTGTAAGACAGATGCATTGTGATTTCTGTTGATTAAGTTAGCGGTTTATTTTGTTTACTTGTGTTGGTTAAGTTAGTCGATTATCTAGTTTCTGTCCGTTGTATATTTGAAAGTGCATTGGATGGTCTAGTCTCTGTTGCCTGGAAGTGATTTGGAGCTTTTGCAAGCTGGAAAGTTACTTTTGCTAATGCAACCCTACATTATTAGTAGGGATTCTGGTTAATTGGATGAAGTTAGCAGATGCCCCTTGCTTGAAAAGGTTCCCCGATGATATCGTTCTTTTGGTTTTCCTTGTTTGAAGAATGTAGTTCATATATTTCTCGCGTACTAGGCAACCCATTTTTTGTCACCTCCAAATTGTTAAAACCAGTTTTGACATTCAATCTAAAACTCAGGACTTGTTTGATAACCATTTTCTTTTTAGTTTTAATTTTTTGTACTATATATGGTGGAGAAGTACTTGTGGGAGAAAGGGAAGGAGAGATAAAGAAGGGTGAAGGAAGGAGGGTGGAGGAAAGGAAAGGAAAGCAATGACAAAAATGAAAACTAAAAACAATTTTGAGTAGATTTCACTTTACGTTTTTGTTTTCATATGATCTACATTCCTTATTTCATCCAATATACTTTCCCCTGGTCTCTAGCACAAAAAATTAGAACTAAAAGCTAAAACCAAAATGTTTATCAAATGGGTCCTTAGCTTTGTAAACTTACTCAAGAAGTAATAAAATAATTAAATAAAGACGTTTTAATGGTTTCTTTTGGTAGTAACTGTTCTTAGAATTTGGACAAGTCCCCTCGCGTGCTATATGTAATTGCTTCTCTGGCCGTTTTGTGAGATGTAATAGGTCTCGTTTCTGTTCAGTTCGAGTAATAATAGTTTCTTTTGGTATTGTGCTTTTAGTTTATAACTGTGTCGTGGTTACTGTAAACGTTTTACATGTAGGGTTTGTGCTCTAATTTACAGTGGTTACAGTAACGTTTTACATATTTGATCAGGGCTTGTTAAAGCCATCTAGCAGATACCCGACGCATGTTTGTGAGGGCGGGGGAAGAGTTCTTTGCATTATGCTACCATAATATTTCCCATAACAATCAATTTTTACTATTGATTTGCCTTTTGGTTTGTTCCAGGACGAAAAAGATCTGAAAATTCGGGAGTTGACTGCTGAGTTGCAACGTGAGCGAAAGAGGTCTGCCACCTATCAAGAACAGCTTGATATGGTTTTGAGGGAGATGGAAGAACATTCCAATCACTTGTCGAGAAACATTGACGGTATAGTCCAGAGCGTGAAAGAAATTGAATCAAAGAGGGTAGCACCTTGAAACGGTTAAAAGGCTGCTTGATTGGTTCAGCTCCTTGCGAGACTTAATTTGCAAATGTGGGTCTGGCTAGTTGGTCAAGAGAGTGTGTCTGCCTCTTGTATTTGAGTTCAAATCCCCCTCCCCATAGATTAGATAAGAGCAGTTTAGATTGTCGTCTTGTTCAAAAAAAAAAAAAAAAAAAAACAGAGAAAAACTGAAAATCTCAGTTTTCGGTTGAGCAGAAACTGAATTATCCTGTAGTTTTCGTTCTTTGTTTTTTGTTTTTTTTTCCGGTTGATTTACCCTTAGGTTGTACAAATAGCATACGTATAAGTAGCAAGATCTTCTAACTCCATAATATTTTGCGTACTCTATTATTTTTTCTTCAATTTCATTTTAATTTAGGGAAGTGATTTTTGACACTCCCGTTATCTCACTCCTCCCTCTTTTTCTAGCCATACGACTCAGAGTAAATCAAGGACACAAACCAAGGGAGGAGTGCAGAAGGAGACGATGAGATATGAAATTCACTTCCCTTATTTCGCCTCCCAGTCTATCTCGTCTCTCTCTTATCTCTTTCTAATCTATTTTATCTCCAACATTAATAGTTATTTATTATTATTATAAATCGAGGGACTGAAAATAAAAATTGAAATGAGATAATAATTTTCCTTCTCTAGCTGTTTGTGGAAACTCCAGTCCCAAGTCGACCACGAGTCCGATTCGGGTACAAATGTTCAACAAACGAAAAACAAGGGTCTCAAACGCAAGGCCATATCGGGAGGTTGAAACGAGTCCAATGCAACTGATGAAAATGTCAATCCGAGTTCATATAGATTTATTACGGCTAAACAAGCTCCCAATCGTCCCCGGTGCTCGCACCCTTGGCGCACTAAACAAGCTTCTTCTCGGCAACGAGAGCGGCCATACTACTTGTTGGGGGTTGTCATGTGCCGATTACAATACGGACCAGCGCACCGGCCAATATTGCTAGTAGACACGGTTGAGGTTCCTATATGTCATCCGTTATGCCATTCGGCATACAACGAATAAGCAAGCCAAACATAATGCCAGGTCCCGAAGTCCCGACAGTGAGAACCTAGTTCAAACAAAAACAATTAGCAACTAACACCAAAAACCGTACTCTAACATCATCTGATAGTCGTACAAAATTCAACCATATTTTGCATCAAGGACTAATTCGGATGAAATGACGGCTTTGTTTTCTCAGCCAAGTTTGGAATGTGATCGAAATCATTCATAATCTAATCAAACAATCAACACCAGTAGCAACTGGACGGAATCAAAGGATATTGCAACGGGATGCTACTGTGACAATATCTCAAAACATTAATGCGATCGAGTGTCCTACTCCACATGGCAACACACGTGTGATTAGGGATGGCAATGGTTTGGTTTGGAGACGGAAATGCTATATCCATCCTATAACCACGAAAATTAACCATACCCATAACCGCAAAATAACCATCGGGAATTATCCATAACCATATCCACTAGATAACGGATTTTCAATCGGTTATCGATTATATCCATCTTTGTTAAAAAAAAAAAATTATATTCATCCAATTGACTCACTACAAATTTTAGTAGATACTAATTCTGTCATTAAATAGCCACATCCAATTACAAAAAACATAACAATATATATTTGAAGTTGTTCATGATAAGCCAATATGATAAATTAGTTCAATAAAAAAGAAAAAGAGGACAAAAACAAATACGAAAGGAAGACAAAACAAATTGTCTAATAATTTCAAAACTTGTGACGACAAAAGAACGATGTTTGATGCATAATAAAGATAGTGTAGAATTGATGAGGTTGTTGGTATGCCCCATGTATGATGTTTGGTGCATAATAAAGATAGTATAGGGTTTGATGCATGCGTAATGAATTAGTACTATAGAGATAGGAATAATTGAATACGTTGTGGACATGATTCCAAGACTTCAAAAGGCATAATTGAATAAAATTATAATATATATCAAATATATATATATATCAAATATTCGGATCGGATTCGGGTACGGATATGGATTGGGTATCCCTATAACCATATCCAAAACCATAACCGAATAAAGTTCACGGTTTTTCCCCATATCCAAACCATACCCGAATTTTCATATCCAAATCCAATCCATTCATGTAGTTATCAATGGTTATCGGGTTTAACAATTAGAATTGTCATCCCTACGTGTGATTGGCTGTGAGATCACCACAAGGTCATCCCCAATGTAGGGAAGTTTCCAGGATGCATTTTTGGAGAAATTTTTAGGTGTGCCGGGAACACCATGCCACGTGGTGTTCCCTCACACATAAAAATTTAGTTTTATTATTTTATTGAAATAAAAAATTGAAGTATATTCAAAATGTCAAATTTTTATGTGTGAGGGAACATCACGTGGCATGGTGTTCCCGGCACACCTAAAAATTTCTCGCATTTTTGCTCACCCACGTTAAGTTGGGTGTACGCTCACCACACATCTCCAAGCTTGCCAAGTGTCCCCTTGGCTTAACCCTGGTTAACTGTGATTTAATAACTCTTTATCAATTTAATAAAGAAATAAAAATAAACTAAAAATAGACAAATAAAAAACCAAGTCTGCAACTGACTTCCCGAAGCGTTTATTCAATTTCGAAGAAATTGTCCTCCTCCACCAAATCATCCATGGCGTTTCGAATCACAGAAATTATCTCCTAATTGTAATTTTATTTACGTATAATTTTCTACTGGAAATTGCTCGAGCATTTGACGACCCTTTATTCATCTCACCTGTTATCTGCTTCCTCCCACCACCCCACGCCAACCACCCACAATTTGGAACAATCTTCTGGGTACAAATTTTCTTCACTTATCTGTGCATCTTTGCTTCGGGTGAATGGAGGCAACCTGTGCTCCTTTCTCACGATGTCGATGGACCTCACCCCGTCAAATCAATTCACCCATTCCCCTTTAAATTTGTATTAGAATTTGAGATTTTAGATTTGGGATATTCGCCCAAATAACAGAAAAGGGGGAAAAGTGACAGAGGAGAGAGATGGGAGGGGGGAGGAAGAGGGGAGATGAACGGTTGAGATACAAATATTAATTAAAAAGTTAAAAGATAAATGTTAAAATGATTATTAATGTATTATTATAGTAAAATATTAATGAAAATGTTAACCAGGATTAAAGCAAGGGGACACTTGGCAACTTTGGAGACGTGTGGTGAGCATACATCCAAGGTAACGTGGGTGAGCAAAAATGCACTCAAGTTTCCATTAACCCTAATTCCAAGCGTCCGACCAACATTACCTAAGTACTCTAATGAAGCATAGTCTATTCCAAGTTGCGATATTTTCAAGATTTCACTGTCAACCAAAACAGGGTCACCTAAAATCTAAAACAAAGGAGAACTTCTCAGCAACACAATCCGTGCAATTCATAGGGAATACGTCCATTATTCAAAATCCGGAGACAAAATATATACAATATCGAACAAGAAACAGATAAATATAAAAATGGATTCAGCAGCTAGTGAAGAAAAGCATAAACAGCAGTAGAAATATAAACAAAAAGAGCCGTCGTGATCAAAACAACAAGCACCGCCACAGCATGGGCGGCGGATTTGCTGCCACACGACAGCATCCCCAGCCTGATCTGGATCACATTCACCATCGACAGCACCAGAAACACGCAACCCATGACCGACCCGAAAGCCGACCCCAACATCCCGAATCTCAACACCTTCAGATTGATGTGGCCCCGGAACGCGTCCTCGACATCCTTGCTGTTGAGCAGGATGATCGCCAACTTCAGTCCCTGCGCCACCAGCGATGAGAACAGGAAGAAGCTGAAGGAGACAACCTCGAACACCAGCAGCTTCTTCGCCACGTCGATCCCGGCGTCGCAGGATGTCCGGTTTGCGAGGCTCCTCTGCCCTGGAGTCGTCAGAGAAAGCCCCACGAAGACGGCGATGGTGAAGAGTGAGTTCACGTTGACCAGGCCGTCCAGGGCCGTGACGTGGACGCTTGTTGTTGACGATGATGACATCACTTCCCGGCCGTCATGGGTGTTGCACTCCCTTGGGTAGTCGTCAGATCTGGAAATCAAGAGAAAAGACACAAAAACAATAATTTTTCAATACCAGATGTCAAATTCTGAAGCTGAAATCTTGATAGAGAGAGGTATGCCGTACTCATCCATGGCATCGAGATTGTAATGGTGCTTGGTTTGTGTATTTCTTTATTATCTTGCTAATGTTGTTGCTTGTAGTGCTTTCTGTTTGTTTCTTGAGAAGATGGAAGGAAAGGAGAGGGAAGGCGAAGGGGAACAGAGGAAGATGCTTTTGCTTCTTGTTATTCGATTTTCAATCTTCTCTTGAGCGAGGTCCGCTATATTCTTATGTAATCTTCATTTTCTTTTGGCATTATGCCCCGTTGTCAACAAAAAAGAAAAATGATCAATAGAAAATAAAGTCGTCTAGTTAATTATTGTAGCTAATGGATAGACGGTTTTGTAATTCTTTTATATGTTTTTATACAGTTTGATAACTAAACGATTTTATATTTTTATTGATGTGACAGCCCGTTCCTAATTTTACGATTTTATTAATTTTAAAAGAGTAATTTGATGAAAATGCCCCCTAAAGACAAGGCTTTTGACTTTCGTTGACTATCGTTTAGAGAGATGTAGGACTCATTCTTTTAGCGTAATTGCGTAGTACGCAACGATATGAACGCGTGGGTACAAACGGAATCAAATTAGGAGTTACGATGGAAATTTTACGGATTTATAAATGTGAAGGGTAATTTGATAATTTCATATTTAAAGATATTTTATGACTTATTTTGTGAGCCACGTGGGCCCACACCCCACTCCTTGCTGCCATGTGTCCATTTCCTCCACACATTTCCGGAGCTCCCACTCTTCACTCACCTCTCTTGTGCTGCCACGACACGTCGAGACCCCATCTCCCTCTCAATTCCCTCAGCTCTATTCCTCTGCAAACTCTGGCACCGAGACCGGCATGCCCTCGCCACTCCGGCGAGACGACCACCACGCACCACCCCAACCACCACGTCTCTTCCTCTTTTTCTTGTCACTCTCCCTTACCTCAACCTCTGTGTCCCTCACCTTCTCTGTGCTCGTGGTGTTGAGACGCCGAGACCATCACCGTGACCTCCACCACCGTGGTTCATTCTCCGGTGACCTCACCACCCTCAAGTTGCCATATTTTCAAGATTTCACTCTCAACCAAAACAGGGTCACCTAAAATCTCAAACAAAGAACTTCTCAGCAACAGAATCCGTGCAATTTACAGAGAATACCGCCAGACTGACATTCCATTATTCCAATATCCAGAGACAAAATTATATACAATTTTCATGATATCGAACAAGAAACAGATAAATATAAAATTGGATTCAGCAGCTAGTGAAGAAAAGCATAAACAGCAGTAGTATAAACCAAAAGAGCCGTCGTGACCAAAACAACAAGCGCCGCCGCAGCATGGACGGCGGATTTGCTGCCACACGACAGCATCCCCAGCCTGGTCTGGATCACATTCACCATCGACAGCATCAGAAACACGCAACCCATGACCGACCCGAAAGCCGACCCCAACATTCCGAATCTCAACACCTTCAGATTGATGTGGCCCCGGAACGCGTCCTCTACATTCTTGCTGTTGAGCAGGTTGATCGCCAACTACAGTCCCTGCGCCACCAGCGATGAGAACAGGAAGAAGCTGAAGGAGACAACCTCGAACACCAGCAGGTTCTTCGCCACGTCGATCCCGGCGTCGCAGGATGTCCGGTTTTCGAGGCTCCTCTACCCTAGAGTCGCCAGAGAAAGCCCCACGAAGACGGCGATGGTGAAGAGTGAGTTCACGTCGACCAGGCCGTCCAGGGCCGTGACGTGGACGCTTGTTGTCGACGATGATGACATCACTTCCCGGCCGTCATAGGTGTTGCACTTGTTTGGGTAGTCGTCAGATCTGGAAATCGAGAGAAAAGACACAAAAAAAAATAATTTTTCACTTTCAGATGTCAAATTCTGAAGCTGAAATCGTGAGAGAGAGAGAGAGAGAGAGAGGTTGTATGCCGTACTCATCCATGTCGTCGAGATTGTAATGGTGCTTATTGGGTTTATGTATTTCTTTATTTTCTCGCTAATGTTGTTGCTTGTAGTGGTATATGTTTGGGGTTTTTATCGTAGTTTGTCTCTAAAATTGAAAATCAATCAAAATAATTCTTGAAAATAGGTGTCGCTAATCAATGTAATCATTTTGTCATAATTCTGTTAAAAATTCTGTTAAGTGTTGATGTGACACATAAATGGGTCTCATAAGTTCTTTTTTCTCAAAAATGATCCTTGAAATTGACCTGCTACATCAAAATGGTCCCTGAAATTGACTGGTCTTTGAAATTGAAAATCGATCAATATAGTCCTGCAAGTAAGTGTCCCAAATCAATATAGTCATTTTGTCACCATTCGGTCAAAAATTTTGTTATGCGCTGATTTGACACATAAATAAGTCACACAGTCTAATTAAATTAAAAAAAAATTACAAATAGGTTTAATAATTTAATAGTTAATAAATAGTTGTCAACCCAAAAATCCAGTCCTGTAATCACCTCCAATCCCAGTCCACATTTGTCTACCTCCTTGCTGCATATTCTCAATAAAAAAAATAAAAAATAAAAAATAAATCTCAATACACCCATCTTTTCACACTTCAATACCCTTCATCGAATTGAACCTAGATGGAGATCACCTTTGATGACAGCTTGGTTGACTGGCAAAGACTTCTGGGATATCACCGTTAACATTTAGGCGATCAACATCCTTACAACCTTAATCTTGGAGAGCTTGTTCGGCGCTTTCCTGGAGGTATGGTGATTTAAAGAACAGCGAGGTCTGCCTTGAGATAATGATATTATAACTGAGGTGTGTCTATTGTTGGTTGAAAATTATTTCCTAACCCCCTCTTAGGCATTGGTTAAGCTTTGTGCTCTTGAGAATTTATAGAAGGGTCTCTCTTCGAAGTAGGCCTTACTGTAACCAAAAAAAACAAAATTCATTGTGCAAAAAGATATTTAGACAACTTTTTTTACCCACGTCAGCACATAACAGAAAATTTTACAAAATTGTGGCAGAATGATCATATTGATTTGTGACATCTATTTTCAAGGACTACATTCATCGATTTTCCCTTTTATGGACCATCTTGATGGTGTGGGTCAATTTCAAGGGCAATTTGTGATAAAAACATGTAAATCTTGTGGGGCCCATTTATATACTATATCAGCACTTAATGAAATTTTTAACAGAATTATGACGAAAACACCATATTGATTTACGACACCTATTTTCAGGGACTACATTGATTGATTTTCAATTTCAGATATCATCTTGATAGTGAGAGTCAATTTCAAGAATCATTTGTGATAAAAACCCTTATGTTTGTTTCATGAGAAGATGAAAGGAAATGAGAAGGAAGGGCGAAGGGGAACAAAGGAAGATGCTTTTTGACACACCCCGACCCAGAAAGTCCACTTGGACCCTGAATCGAGCTGTGCTGGTCGACACCTGGAAGGTGACGAAGCCATAAAATGTGATAGTGTATAAAAAGTGAATAAATTTGAATCTAAAAGTGTCTAAGTACCAGAGTGCGCTACGAGTGGGAGCGAACCCATTTCACACGCGATGTCAGAGCATAAGTAAGTTACAGTAGTGTGGGTAAGAATCATACCCTCAGAAATATCCATCAATACTAAGATTCGCCACATATTATTGTCGATACAAACTCAGCAGCTAAAACCTGGAGGGCACCAAACAGAAGGTGTGAGTAAGCAATAAAACCAAGCTTCCCAAAGTTATTACCTCTCTAAAAGTAATGCCCCTAAATGTAAAACCCGTATCGTTTTCCATAAGACAGTACAACATATATATACATATATTCAAACCATACTCAGAAATAACCAAAACCACGGTTTGCCATCAACTCCACCATACATTAATAAGTAGGCCAAATGAACTAAATCAATACAAAGTGATATATCAGTCAGAGTCATCTAAAATGACATGTACAACTTATCCATATCTCATCAATCATGGCTAGCATATAAGTCGGAGTCACTACATCAATTATGGCTAGCATATAAGTCGGAGTCACCTATAGTGACCTGTACGACTTATCCATATCTCATCAATCATGGCTAGCATATAAGTCGGAGTCACCTATAGTGACCTGTACGACTTATCCATATCTCATTAATCATGGCTAGCATATAAGTCGGAGTCACTACATCAATCATGGCTAGCATATAAGTCGGAGTCACCTATAGTGACCTGTACGACTTATCCATATCTCATCAATCATGGCTAGCATATAAGTCGGAGTCACCTATAGTGACCTGTACGACTTATCCATATCTCATCAATCCTAGCTAGCCAATAGCTCAATAAGTATACCTTCACACGAGTCGGAACCACCTAAAGTGGTCTGTACGACAGGACTGGGTGTAAATAAATACGCTCAAGTGCTACGATCACGTGAAGGCTGGGCGAATAATCGCGGGTCACCTACGAGTCGGAACCACCTAAAGTGGTCTATACGACAGGACTGTGCACCTACTTTGAATCCAAGGTGAGCGTAAGGTGCGGGAGGTGAACATCACGTGAAGGACGGTGCCCTGACCACGGGCGGGAGCACTAACACCGGGGTGCAGGTTTATGAGCTCTCAATGCATCTCAATATAACATGTGGAACTCATGGCAACCAGTACGACAGTATCGAAGTTGCCTAAAACATAATTGTAGTCATGCTATAACTCAATCGATTCAACTAATACCATAAACTGACCTGAACTTACCTGGGTGTCCTGAATTCACCTTTGCACTTGAAAGCATTCCCAATAATTATATGCAAGCAATATACATATGGATATACCATGATGCAATCTAATACTCAACCATGTCGTAACATTTTCAATTATAAACAATACAGTGAGAAGTGTACAATAAATAACGCCTTACTCCCAACTACTTATTTTCAGGGATAATTATTCATGACAACAAAATTAACACTAATTTAACAAACTAATTCATAAAACTAAAACTTGTCTTTACCAATTTCCTTTGCGTTACTCAATTTCCCAAGCAAGGCTTTTGTCTCAAATATTTTATGGCTGCATCTAACGTTTCGTTAGACTGCCTACGTACCCTAGACAGTGATCAAGCCATTCGTAGTTCATATAGGTACTTTAAGCATTCACAATAATTATACGAAGGTAATATACAAAATCAATTTAAAAGTGTCGATAGAACTCTCAACGATATGTACGATAAAAAGGAAAAGATCCACTCACCTGTAGTCTACGCTATGATTCTCTAGCACACACATCGAGGCGTCCTGAATGATTGGTCCCT